ATGTCATCCCATTGCCTTCTTGCCTGCATGGTTTCTGCTGAACTATCCAAGCTTAGTCTTATTGTTTCTCCTTTGTATGTGACTTTTCATTTTTCTCAAGCTGCTCTCAGGATTCTTTCTTTGTCTTTGGTTTTAGCAAGTGTGATTATGATATGCCTTGGTGATTTTCTTTTGGGGTCTATCCTATATGGGGTTCATTGAGCTTCTTGGGTGGTCAGCTTTTCATCTTTCATTATATTGGGGAAGTTTTCTGTCAGCCAGTCTTCGATGATCCTGTCTGTGTTTTCTGTTTTCTCCCCCTGTTCTGTAACTCTGATCACTCACAAAGTTTTGCTTTTGATTGTATCCCACATAATTCTCAGGGTTTCTTCATTTTTCTGATTTTCCTCAGAGTTGTATCCAAGTGTTTGTCTTCAGTTTCACTGATTCTGTCTTCCATCTTTTCAAACCTGCTCCTCAGCCCTTCTATAACATTGTCCATTTCTGAAATCTTGTCGTTTATCTTTTGAATTTCTAATTGTTGTTTTTGTATGATTTCTAGTAGTGAATTTATTTTGGCATTTCGTTCCTATATTATTTTCCTGAATTCTTCCATTTTTTTGTCTGTATTTTCCATGAATTTGCCTTTTCCATGAATTTGTCTATGTTTTCCTCATTTTTGTCTGCTTTTTGCTTCAACTCTTGGATAGCTCTGAATATTAGAGATTCGATTTCCCTATCAGATAGTTCTAGTACCTTTTCTTCTACTGGAAAGTCCTCTGGTGTTTTAGTTTGTATGCCTACTGGAACCATCCTGTCCTGTTTTTGTATATGTTTTGATATTGTCTGCTGTCTTCAGGACATTCGGTAGTTATTTTCCTCATTTATTGATTGTAGACTTGTTTGTTTCATCCTGCTTTTTTGTCTTATTTGGTTATGTCTGAGCAGGCGGGCTGTGCGTATGTTATTGTTTGCTCATCTGTGGGCAGGATACTTTTCACCTCCTTCTCCAATGGGCAGGGTCAGTCGCTCAGTGATGGTATGGCAGGGCAGGTCTAGCTGAAGGGGAGTTGCTGGGATGGGTTGTTTGTGGCACATACTAGGGCTGACAGGGCAGACTGGGAATCAGTGCAAGGCAGGTTCCGGCAGACCTTGCCTGTGCTGCTCGGGAGTATGATGTTCACTGCACAGTGCAGGTAGGCAGGAAGGAGGGGGGAGATTGTGTGGAGCTAAGATGGATATTGGAAAGAGGAGAGAGAGGAGAGAGGAATAGAAGCCAAAAACATACAAACAAAAAAAAAGCATGCTAAGGGAGCTTGGCATTGGAGTGGAGAGATAAGAGACTGAGAAATGGAGAAAAACAAAAAGAAAAAAAAGAAAACGACTGAAAGAAAAAAATAATTGCAGGGATATGTGCCATTAAAATATGGATGTATAAAGGCCCATATGCTGCACAGCATGTTGAGACTTGTCCCCAACATGTTGAGACTTGTCACGACTTGTTTTTCCAAACCCGTTACTGATTGGCTTGTTTACCTGCGGTCCATTCTCCCTTGCCCGAAACTTACTGTTATTCACCCAACGCCCATTGTTCTATGATTTGCTTCACTACTTGCTGTATTGACTATAAATAAACTCCTGGGACTGAAGCCAGGGTCGACTCCTCAGAGTGACCCTCCTTGGCCCCACTTGTCTGTTAGAGTTGTGTTTGGTTACTGTCTTCACCACCCCGACAATCGTCGTCGCTGTGACAAATAATTTTAAAACTTAGGGAAAAAAGCCCCTAGGATCCCATGGGTGCAGCCACAAGGACTGGGGAAGTTGCTCCCGGGCTGTGAAGTACAGCCTGGCTAGAAAGGGTAGAGGTGTCACACATCGCCAGGTATTCAGGAGACAGGAAGAGAAGGTAAGTATAGAGAAATGAGAAACTGAGAAATGAAGAAAGACAAAAAGGGAGAAAGAGAGAAAAGAAAACAAAACAAGAAAAAAGAAATGCCTGCAGGGATCCCACTATGTGGCTGTGCAGACCAAGGAAGTAGCTCCCAAGCCACACAAGACTGTCAAAGGGGCTCCCAAGCTGAGAAAAGAAAAAGAAAACAAACAAAACAAACAAACAGAAAACAGCCCTGGGGATCCCACCAGCATGGCAGCACGGTCAGGAAGCAGTTCCACAGTCGAGTGGCATTTCACAGCCTTTCAGGATGAAGTAAAGATGGCACACGGAGCCAGGTATTTGAGAAAAAGGAGGGGAAGGTGGTGAGAGTTATGGAAGAAACCAAAAGAAGCAGAAAAAAACA